ATCGTCGAATCAGAGGCGATATGATTTTACTCTATCGGATTTTCCAACAACCCAACCACCCCTGTAGATCTCTGTTGGTTTTGTCGCACAACGTTCATCTCAGAGGGCATCCACTGAAGTTGGCATACCAAAAGAGCCGTCTCGACTGCAGACGTCATTCGTTTGCAGTCAGAGTGTGCAGCACCTGGAACTCTCCACCAGCTCACGTGGTCTGTGCCCCAACATTAGTATCTTTCAAGCGTCAGCTTGATGATGCCCTGGCAAACGTTACATTTCAACACCCAACTACATATTCTCCTGTGCTCGTCGAAACATTACTTTACTACTTTACTTTCATGGACTAACTGATATTGTGAATCGTCATCCGAACCCATGTGTAAACACCCTATGGGATTTGTAAAAGCAGTCTTTGTAAGTTATATCCCATAATAAAAATTTGAATTTGAAATTGATTTCATATTCATATTACTCGAGCGTTTGCAGTAGTACAAATTGAATTTCAGAATAAAAGTGGATCGGGGTTTCTGTTATTTCTATTAATCACGTCCGTCTGATCCATTCAGCAAATCATAATTGGAAGCAAAATTGGAAACTGCAAACCAGAATGACTGAATATTCACAGTCAGATTACCGATGTCACACAATTTCACAGATACGACCGAGGTCAGCGGGATACGTGTAACGTAAGAGTTCCAAATCGTTGGTGTGCCCTTACATATTCCATTCTCGGGGCAGTCACTGGGTTGGAGGATTAGGGGTATGGATGATTCCGAATGAAATAAATAATAGCCCCAAAATAGCCCATAGTATTTTTCTTCAGAGTAAGCTCTTACAATATGGATCGTACCAGTGTTCGGAAGTGGAAGAGAAAGTAAATGTTGATTGCCCGTGATTTCTTTCACGGTTTGCATCTTTGTATTTGCTTCTTCACTGTACTTCGTTAGAAACGCTGAAAACGTACCCTTTGGATTGCTTAAACCTATCCTGTCTAGAAAAATAGCAACTATGCTGGCTGATTCGCACTAATGTTCACATCATGATACATTGACAGCCTTCTCTTCGATATCGATCGACAGTGACAAAGTATAAACAGACCTTAAATTACAAATGCATCATGAAACCGTTATGCTTGGATGCCATCACATTATCGATAATCGACTAGACGCGTTTGATCATCTGACATGAGGAGCGGTGTACCAGTTTGCCAAGGGAGAAAACGCAGCGCATGGTCATATTTTGTTTTACTGTCGAGACAAAGCCATAAATTGAGTGATTCCTTTCCTCTGAGCCATTCAATTGTAAAACCTGCCTTGAGAAAGGTTACCCACGTTAACCGAAACGTCGGCGAATATAATTCTCTATCGACATCGCTGTGTTATTAACACTATAACATTAACATTCGGAGAACAAATTTGAAAACAAAATGTACCTTTCGATTATCAGTGTAACAAATAGTCAATACAATTGTCTGGAATTCCTGCTTAATTTTGACCCAATATAGACTGTGATATTACAACTGGGAAAGATTGATCTACCCATCTGGCACAGTAATAAGCCATAAGCGTTGTACATCACTTATTACTCTCAAGCACCGTTTATACTGTTTATTGTTATATACTGATGTGACTGCAAAAGCTGCAAACGAGTTTGTTCGACAATTTTTTCGTACTCATTCAAACTTGTCTTTAATCAATAGCGGATAGAAATCTAAAAGGAGTTCAAGTCAATTTGGACATTAAAACACCGCTACCAAGTTGGGAATATTATCGGTGTGACAACAAAACTATTACGAGTAAATTCACGGATGAATACACAGGGAACAAATTCGACTTTCTTTTTGTATGATGAACATCAGAGAAAAGAAGGCCTGTTTCGAAATAGTGGTATATTATTGCCCTAATTGGCTTAACTTCCTCACAAAGAATGCCCAAAAGTTTGTAAACATATTGAGTTCACTCTTATTGCACACATTTTTTATTAGTCTAAGGTAAATTCATTAGATCGTTTAAAACTAGTAACGGTGTTCGTTAATGTTACCCCATTTCTCTATTCCTGATCAACTGCGTCGTAGCCGGAGTACTGGTCTACAAAAGGTCGTTATTGAATGGACATCCGGAAAAGAATTATGCTATCTTGAGTATGCTGACGACATCTTGTCTTTTCGAAGGTATGGAGGATGCACAAAGCGCCCCTGACAGGCCAGCAATTTCTGTTTCTCAATTCGTCAAAGTGCGAAGTGATGCTGGAAGATTGGGTTTGTCGTTCTGAAACTAGACGATCAAGAATTAGCTGAAGTTGACTGCCTCTGGCATTTGGTGAGCTGCGTGACCAATGATGGGAACGCATCAATGAATATAACTGCCCGCATTTCAATGGCTTGAGCAGCGTACGCAGGAATCAAACGCTTTTGGCGAAGACGTGATATTTCAAACACAATATCGTTTGAAAATAAAACAAAGAAATAAACAGATACAAAGCAATTCATCATCGAATAACCAAAGAGTTTGCCTTTTTGACATTCGTGATGAGGGGAGCCATTGCAGTTCATTGCATAGAGACTACCGTTACTTGAGCTTTCAGTGTAAAAAAGGTAATGGATTTCGTCTTTCAAACACGGCGTACCATAAATGGGTGGTTATTTGAAAATGAAATGGTCCCTATTCGGGGAATATATTTATTCAAAAGAAGAAATCTCCAATTGCAAAAAGGTTATTATCTTCAAATCGAAAAACTCATGCAAACACGAGCTGAAGAGTGTAATTCACACCATTTCGCTGGGGTCGTAGTTTCAATTCTTACCATGGCAATGAGTGTTCTGAAAGTGCGAAGCAATCCAGCACCTGAGGACTATTTGACTGTTGTTGTTTTCCAGTCACGTTCACGGTTTGCACTATTCACTTTCCATATTCGTCTGGAATTTTCTGTCAGCGCTGGCTGACGATTTCCACGTTGACGTTAATAGTGACATTAATAATTCTGAAATGCACAACCAAACTAACATAGCAGTGTTGTCAACGGAGCATGTTGTTCCTTTTATAAGCTTTGATTTTGATCCATCAATTAATCTAAAATGGTCTTGGAACAACTGGCGTATATTGTTTCATCACCTGACCGTAGAAGAAATGCGTGTAAACTATGCCACTGGTCAACAAATACATTAGTATACTTGATCTTCCGTCACACTTGTCAGTACACAATTATACACCTAGTATTCATGTTTAGGCATACAACTAATTGGCATATATCATCTGAAAAGCTCGTAAACCCTCTGCAATTACAAGACAAATTGTTGAACCATGATGTGTTTATTCCTCCTACCCCCCCTGTGTTGGAGTGAAGCTAGTCCCGTTATCTTAGGTTATTTATGACTATCCCGTAACTGAACACCCCACTGTTTTGCCCTTCATGACGTACTTAATTTGCCCAGAGAGATTAATAGGAACAGAACTTCCAAAGCTTTCGATGATATGTGTATATGATGAATAATTACATAAATTGCTAGTTAAAGCTCTTTGCTGACTTTCACTTTTGCCCCTCCGTGAGAGATTTGCCGGATCTCAATAGTGCGATTCCTTTATACTAACATCCCAACGGGTGTTCGAGATTACTGCACTCTTTCGCCCAGCTTAACTGCATGAAGTGGTGCCCTTTGGGATTGACCTCTATCCCCATTTTTTCCACTGCCACCAAAGCGCTGGTATCTATATGCTCCCAGCCGTTCAGCTATCGGAGGTGGAATATGCTGATGATATAGTAATTCTTAGTGAGGGTTCTCGTTTATTTTCAAGCCAAGGATACATGGATGGTTCCGCAATGCGTTCTGCCCCCTCAAATTGTAAAATGTTGGTACAAGACTGAGTTGGTTTAGCTCTCAGACTGTTTTCTAACCGAGGAGGTGCTAGATTACTGAGAAATGTTGTGACATTCACAACTGTGTCTTACCAAGAGGATACCTCACGAACGAAGCTTGGACACGCATATAAAGTGTTTGTTGGTCTCCGCTGCAATACAAAGTGGTCCGTGAAAGATCGAGTGTGTGCTACAACAGTTCAGCCGGTCCTAAGACAACGAGACAAAGACAGACCTCAGGTATCCGAACACCACTATCGACGCCGCATTGATCGAGGCACGTGAAGTAACCGGACAAGTAATGCCACGGTTGAGTGTCTAGTTTTAGGCAGTAGGATTGGGGCAATACAGCAAGTGCTCGACCTCCATAGAATATGTCGACCGCTACATGTGTCACGTTTGCCACCGAATACATTACCTCGGCTTGCAATGTTGACGAGGAAGGTAGCGAGTGGGTGAAAGAAGAGTAAATGTAGTCAAACTAAGATCTGGTATGAGTAGTTGAAAATCCCGAACACGATACTTGGAAATCGACGGTAATCTCTAAATCTGTCACATGGATGGTTAGGAAAAGTGGGTTATGCGGCTACATTCAATGGGCGTCCGCAGCTACTCAAAATTTTCACACCCTTAGTCTACCTCGACCACTATTTGCAAGTGGATATTGCGTATCTTTTTTCCTCTAATGCCTCGTTCACATCGACTACCAAAAACAGCACAAGACTACGAGATTAATGGTTGTAAAAAACGGAAATTGCCGATTTCTAACCAACCGACCGTTTAACTTTTTTCACACCATGTTTACCTAATCGTATCTTAAGATTTCTGATGCGCCAGAAAGCGGGGACAGAAATGCTAATGGAGTATTTTAATTTGCTTATATTTTGACAAACATGAACGGTACAATAAGTCAAATCACTCTCAGCCAGTGGATATACATACCAAAGACACAAAATTTAAAAGCAAAGACACATCGATTAGATGTGTGATAACAGACAGGGTAATGATCAATATTTTTTATTAAACTCTTTCTTTCGTCTCACAAGCCACGTGACGAAAACTAACATCTCCGAGCAGATCTCAATTATTCATTAGTGGTTTTTTCTATACAGCTGTTTGCGGTATGAGATTATACTTGCCAATCGATCTATTTATTGAACTCGGCAACCTTTCTTTTTCTTCGCATGTTCGACCCGAGAACGAAGTTTCTGCGCCAGCTTGTTACGACCGATGGCAATCAGTGCCATATACAATTCGTTGATCGGTGATTTGGAACGGTCGACACCGTGTAACCATATGGTCAGAACACGGTACCCATGATCTTTATAGGAACTTTTGCCTGGAATGATCGAAAAAGAAATAAATCAGAATCTGATTTATCCGGTCAGTCAAAAAGGGAGTAGAACAGTTTCTTTAGAGCTTGAGAATATTTTTTCAAATTAATTTTTCTAAATTTGGGACTGGATAGTTTTGTATTTTACAAATTTTTATACAGTGAGTGCCGAAAGAGGTGACCCTGAAATTCGTGCATACCTTCTCCCTGTTTGGTTACGGCAATCAGTGGTCAAACTACTCGTACATGACTTTCTCCATTTGTGAGTAGCATGGAAGCCCTTTGATTGGTCACTTCCCTCATCTTGAAAAGTGTATCATTGTGTATTCAATGAAAAGGAAGTAAAAAGGGATGTTATCTATCACCGATTTGGGATTATAGTACCACTGACTGAATCCTGTCACACAAAATCCGAAGAGCATAGGTGAAACCGACTTAAACCGCTTGGTGAGAACGAAGGCACTTCTTGGGTTTTGCAGCTGAACATGAGATGCCTGGGCGAGCTGCAAAGGGTATTATCATATAATCAACATAAGAGTGGCTATAGCGATGAATATTGACTCAAATTGTTGTTTGGAAGATTTATTAATTTATAATAATAATAATTACTATTATTTATTTAATAATCAGTTTGCTTAGAGCACAGACTGAAGCTTTGCGGATCAACCAGAAATGTAAGAGAACTAGGTTTCTATTGTGAAATTGTTTTCGATTTTTCACACAGATCTATAGACAGTCGCTTCTTGCTTGTTGGAACTCGTCAGCAATAGGCCTTATTTTTAGTGCAGCGATCAAGACTAGAAACGCGGATTTTTGGCAAGGCCCATGCATGTGAGCAACCGGACTGATGATCTACGACATGATGCAAAACATGCGTAGAGTTAGCCTGTGTCGGACGTTACACTGTTTATTTCATTTGAAAATGTTAATTAATATCGTGTGGAACTTTCGGATTTAGGGCCACTAAGAAATAACAATCAACAAGCTTAAATATCTTGGAATTTGCATGAAATTAAAATAATAAAATTAAAAAGTCGGTGGGTCAGATTGATGTTGGCGAACCAGATTTGGAATACTTTGTCTAAACACAATAGTAGAGTTGATCTTTGCTGATGGACATGCAATTTTGACTCGTTTCCACTTAGGGCAGTGAAGACCTGATTAAGCACAAGGATTTCCATATTTTGGAACAATGCAACTAACGGATTTCGTCAATCGAACCAGTCACACCATTTTCAGACTTCAGTTCAGAGGTCATAAAAGCGAGTCCGGATTTTCCACCGCAAAAGGCGATAATTAGCAAAAATCTTAAACTGAGGCATTTTAACACCGCCAAAAGGTAGTAACTTGGAAAAAATCACATTTTTATTGTTCTAAATTTAATGAGCACTTTTTCATTAAACCAGATCCCAGCGCGAATTTTCAATCGTATAAAATGAGCCTACTAAATTACGCACAAAACTAAGCTGATTGTAATCCGGTGTACGTACCGGAATCCTGGTATTCGATAGCGGCAATATGTTCCTGTCGAAATCCCCAGAAACTGGCCAGCTTCTTCCAATCATCCGGTTTCAATTCTTTGTGGGCTATGTCAAACAACATCACTTTTATTTCTTCGGCATAGGGCTGCAAAATGGAAAATTTATTTTATTAATAAGGTTACCTGAATTTTCTTGAACAGAGTTTCTTCATTTGTATGCAAAAATAAGAAAACTACAATGCATATTAAAAAATACAGTGAAGTGAAGGAGTACGGAAGTTGAGGATAACTGTATGAGAGAACTGGTGTAATGCTTTCAGACGATAGCGGCCAGAGGAATAGTGAGTAAACCGAACAATGGAATCGAATAAACGTTCAGTTGGAATAGTGATGATTTGAAAACAATTTTTTGTGCACTCTACACACACACACTCAAAAATGGAACATCCCTTGAATAGGCAAATAGATTGTCATTATAGATCCCCAATATTCATCATCGTTTTCATTATAACCTGACGAAGAGGTGCAAATCAGTCGTGTCTTCATGGACATTCTGAGAAACTCTGGCTGTGTCATTTGAAAGCTGTTCTAAAAAGGACTTAANCATCAAATAACACATGCACTTGTGAAGTCAAACCAAGGCATTCAACCCATAGTTTTGTAAGGGCAATCTTGGAGTTATCTTAACCCATAGCCTATGTTAAATAAGGAGTATCTCTTATGCACATTATACAGTTGAATTTATCAATCAACTCAATTACTATATTATCTGCTGTCGAGCACGGATGGCCTTGAGCCCATTCTCGTGTGATGTGAGATTAGTAAAGAAATAAGACTTAAAGGTAAAAGTGCAATAATGCTAAGTACTTCGAGTTATGAATAAATCGCTAAAAAACTAATTGGTAAATAACTTCTTACATTTTAGAACACAATAGAGATATCCAATCAGAGGGTATTCATTGTGATTTCATGTTTACCTGATCATAGGAGAGGAGACTAAAACCTGCCGTCATTGGATTAGTTGAACCGGATTTTCGTGTATTCCAACTGCTTGGTTGATTTTCATTAAGACTGACAATCACTTCACCATTCGGTAACACGCGTTCCTCCCCCGTGATCCGAATGCGATCTGAATATCCGTCTACATCATCATCATCGTTATCATCGCCGTCTTCTCCTAAATTACACATTTCTCTTCCTCTCTGGTCTCCCGTGATCGAAGGTTGACCCGTGCTACTTTCGGGTGCTCCTGGGTGATCAAGCCTGGGTGAAATCCGGTTGGTTTCCCATAGACGACTGGCTTCCAATCCAAGAGAGAGTTCACTTTCAGCATAGGAGGCTCCGGGGGAATTGTAGTATGACGACCTTCCTCTGTTGGTTGTTGGAGGCTCCAAATCTCCGGGGAAATACATGAACGGATCGAGAAATTCTTCAGTGGGATTACGGGGGTAACTCATCAGAGTCGCTTCACTC